AACTTGTATATTTAGGCTTAGGTTTAACCACCACCGTCTTCCATCCCATCTCCACAAAATGGAAATCTTTTCAAATGGCAAATGTCCATGTGACAATTCTACAGTGGCAGATGCGAATCATGTTCTTTTGGCCTGCCCACTAAAACTTCAAGGAAGAGAAGATATTTACAAAACACTGGTGAAAAATAAAGTGCCACTACCCACCTCAGTTAACTTAATTTTAAGGTATATCAAGAACATTGAAAACCTGGATCCCATTTTTACATTTATCGAAAAAAATGACATAGATATTTAAACAAATTTTAATAAAGAAGGAAAGAATAGTAATATTAGATCAAGTGGACGTGGGCAGGCGGCGGCTGGGCCGTGCCTGGCTGGGCGGGCGGTGCGCTGGTTGGGTGGACGCTTTTGGCCTCTCGGGCGAGTTTGGCCCCGGATTGTGGGATGGATGCGGACTTTTCCTTGGGCCCTAGGTGCCGTGTAGATGGTTTTTATCCGCATCTATCTGGAACAATCTGTGACAAAGTAAAAAAAGGGTAGAAGGACCTCATGCAGGGAAGAGGCCTGGGCGACCTTCCCGGTCGGCGCTCGTGGCGTTCGGTCTCGGCGGGGTCGGGCTGTGGACTATCCGCGGGACCCACTAACAGGAATGGCTAGAAAAACGGTTTTATGAATAGAAAAAAATGACCTAGCTTTCAATAGCCCCTGGAGTCCAACCTCGGCGGCTGGACGGATAAGACCATGGTCTGATCACGGACTGCTAACCGAGGTGTACATATAAATTTCGCAAACCTTTGTGCTTTATTGTCTGATAATCCAAATTGGCTCACCAAGGAGTATCAGCAGGACTTGCAGGTTTTCTCACCGCTGGAAACTCAGGATTAATGTTCCCAAAACTGTGTATTTTTCACAAAACGACGACCAATATTCAAGGAAACCGTTTCCATTCACGGACACAAAATCGAGTGGTGTGAGGTGGTAAAGTACTTGGGTTTAACTCTATACCGTAAACTTAACTTCTCTAGGCATATAAATGAAGTTAGGAAAGGTAAAATATTCATAAAAGCCTTATTTCCGTTGATGGCCCGTGAGAGTGGAATGAGCTTTGAAAATAAACTAATTATTTATAAAGTAGCTATTAAACCTATCCTGATGTATGCTTGCCCAGCATGGAGTTACAAGTGTGAATCGAACATCCAAAAACCTAAGGATTTATAACCTCACTCCTCGATACACTAGAATTGGCCTCCTCCAGAGAGAACGGGAATAGAATATAATAAGTCCAAATTAAAGTGTCTGTCTAGGAAAATTTTTATGGGTCTCTAATGTAATAAGCAAAATGAAGTATACTTCACTAAAGCTCTCCGTGGCCATTTCATTTGTCGCCGAGAATCAAATAGATTACACGACATTTGAAAAAAGGAGGGAAAATTCGAAAGGTGAGGTGAGATGGGGAGTTGGTGACCGAGGATCGAAGTCACGATAGCTCAAGTGGTAGAGCAGCGGCGAATTTAGCCGAAGGTCGTGGGTTCGAATCCCGCTCGTGACACTGGCTTTTTTATCTCAACCAATACCTTTCATAAAGATTAATTAATTTGAATGTCAATCAGTTAGCTCACTTTGCGTTTTACACCCACCGAATGGGTCAAAACTCCAAACATCTGACCGAGATCAATATAGCGCTTGTGTTTTCTAAGCACAAAATCTTGTTGAACTCAAGGAACAAAAAGAATGAAAGTTTAGTAAAGTTTTTCATCTCATTAATATAAAAAACAGACAAAGAGCGGTATTGTTTGTTGTAGAAAAATCGCGTATATAGAAAGTGTTTTTTCTGCCCGCTCACAATGCCTCCTTCTCACGCCCGCCGGAAACTTTTAACATGCGAAGTAAAACACAGGGGAGAGAGTGGGCGGAACAGAAAGTGTGGTAAAGGGCACCTGACTCCTTAATTTTCCTGCAGACAATGTGTTCTCGGTGTATAAGCAAGGCCTTCGGCTTCCCTTTCTTTTTGCCGAGGGGAAAAAAAACCCGGTCATTTCGTCTTTTTTCGAAACGCCGAAACAATGCCATTTTCGACACAGCACACCTGAGCGCGTCTTCAGTAAAGTGTTCGCATTTTGTACCAGGAGTACATTTGAGTTCGGCCTCCTTGGTCGAAGTATTTTCGCAATTCAGACGTGAAACAGTTTTTCAGGTCTGCGCCGGCAATCAATGAATCTCAGGACAATAGCACAATAACCTGTTGAAGAACAATGCCCTGGACCCTGACCCTCGTTAAATTTCTTTGTCCATTGGATCGTTTGTCCCGTAATTTTTGAAGAAAAGGCCAATTTCCATATGCCAACAGCTTTTATATAGGTACAATGTTTTTCAGATATCTCAGCCAAAGATCTACAGCTTATTAAGTGCATATTGGGTCATGAAATGGACCGTTTATTAACAGGAAATTAATTAAAAATTTTAAAACATACATAATAAGTTCTATTTTATTTATATCAGACAGGAGGGCTTAACTTCCAACTGTCCGTTAGGTGTCGCGGACGCAGTTCAAACTACTTTATTTTTCATCGCATGATCTATTAACAAGACATGGACTCGGCCGGGATTCGAACCCAGAACTGCTAGCTCGGCAAATACGAGTCGGTCTCCCTAACCACTCGGCATTAAGCACCTGAAAACGGTTTTGGTCCTGAACAAGTTCACTTAAAGTTGCGGGCCACCTTTTGCGGAAGAGGTCTTCGTTCAGTTCTAGACAATATCCAAAACATTTTGCTAAAAAACGTATCACGAAAAGCCATAGCGTTCTGTCAATGTGTTCAAGACAAGGTCTCATACTAGGTTACTTCCTCATTCTCTGGAAAACCTCTAAAGTCTTTCTGATTCTGAAGCCTGCCAGATTACTCAATGATCCAAACAGCTACAGGCAGATTAGTCTGCTTAGCACGCTAAGTAAAGTGTTCAAAATAATGCTGTTAGCTGGGGTCTATTTGGATGTCTACCAGTATCCAGTATGAGCAGTTTGGGTTCAGGACTCACCACTACTGCCCAGTTATCTAGAGTCGTTGATTACGTAACTGGAACGTTTAACCAGCGAAAGCACACTGGTTTGGTTTTGACGGACCAGAAGTCGTTTGACACTATTGGGCATACTGGAGTGATAAACAGTATGATAGACCACAGCTTTCCCCCAAACCTCATTCAAATCATTCACACATATTTATATAATAGAAAATTTATTTGCTGGTGTCCCAAAAGGATCTATAATAGGACCTGTCCTTTTTCTTATATTTGGCAAAACAATGCCAAACTTAACGATTGCAGACTGGCCTTGTATGACCTAGCCATCTACACTTCGTCCTGGAGAGTGGATAGAACAGCCTGCAGACTCACAAAGGTCATGTCATGTATTGGCAGGTTCTGTAACAAATGGAGGATTAAAATAAATCAAATAAAAAAAGGAGTCTATTCTCTTTACCAAGGAGGCAGGCCTGTTGTATCGACATGTCGTCTTCGGGGGTCGGATAATACCTTGGTCTGCTACTGTTAAACTAATGGAGTACTGGGTAAACTAACTTCTCCTATATAAAACCAATATTTTGTATGCTTGCCCCTCATTACATATCATCACGAACATCGCCTCGCCTCGAATTATTACAAACCAAGTTTTTACGGCTGGTGACCTCATCACCCCGCTACACCCGAATTCAAGACTTGCGCATTAACACAGACATAGATTACGTTGTACACCACAAAAAACACCTAGACAAAGTATTTCTTTGAACGGTGAGAGCTAAGCAATAATCAGTTTGTCCGACAACTTGAGGACTGTGACTTGGACTTTGGGTACAGGCATAGGAGAGTGAAGCACTCTTTAGTTTACACCTTGCTTACTGCTTAGGGTTTCTTACGGTTTTTACCCTTAAATTAACTTTTCTTTTGTCTTGCTGTAACACTCTTTTTAAAAATTATTTTCTGAATCAGGAGGTTATAGTACAAACTGCTACTCCTATGTAAATATGCTTAAACTTTTGTAAATATTTTGAATAAAGATTTATATTCTGTTCTAAAGGGGTTTTCTCTTTCCCTTTCAAAAAGTCTACAAGAGAGAATTTCATGGCGCACGTCATCATGAGTATCGCATTCAGGGCTTAAAGCTATTGGACCTTTTGAATTTAAAGATGCATGCAAAAAAAGTCGCCATGACCGGTCATGGTTTGCGTGGCCCAGAAATCCGGAGACACCTTCTTCCCTTTATCTTTCCCTCCCTCTCACTCCCGTCTCACTGTTCTTTTTTCATTCATAATTTTATCTCTCTGTCTAACTTCCTCCCTCTCTCTCTCTCTCTCTCTCTCTCTCTCTCTCTCTCTCTCTCTCNTCTCTCTCTCTGTCTTTCTCTCACTCTCTCCCTCTCTCTCTTTCTCTGTCTCTCCCTCTCTCTCTGTCTTTCTCTCACTCTCTCCCTCTCTCTCTTTCTCTGTCTCTCCCTCTCTCTCTGTCTCTGTCTGTCTCTCTCTCTCTCTCTCTTTCTCTCTCTCCCCCTCTCCCTCTATCACTCTTTTTTTCTCTTTAATTCATCTAATTTTTCTTCTACATTTGTCTTCAGTGTCTTTGTCTCTTTCACTTTCTCTCTGTTTCTTTCTTTTTCTTTCATGTATCTAACTTTTCTTACTTCATTTTTCATCGCGTCTTTGGCCCTCTCACTCACCCTCTTTCTTTCTTTCATTAATCTGACATCTTTCTTCATTTTTCAGCACTGCCATATTCTCGACGTCTAACTCAATCGGAAGTCTTTCCTATTTCCGATTGAATTATAACTGTGACTACAAACTTATGTTAAAAAAATATATAACGAATAATATTTTAATTAATGAACTTTTATCTTATTTAAGTGTTGGCTAATTAGCTTATATTAGAATTTATTTTAGAAGCTTATTTACCTACCTAGCCTATTTACCTGTAGCTTGTGGATTTTTTTTAACTTGTGTCCTTTTGTGTTTCAGGTCTCAAATGTGGACACCCCGCAGTTCCTATTAATTCAAGGATAACACTTTCATCAGATTCTTTAAAACCTGGTACCGTTGTAACATATATATGCGATGACGGATACGAATTATTCGGGTAAGAAACGCTTATTTTTACATACATTTCGAACATTTCTTATACATTTCTTCATAGATTTATAAAATTCAAACAGTTTATGTAAAATATTTACATACACGCAAAACAAAAGATCTTTCAACGTCAATGAATCATATTCGATACTGTTGTGTTAATCGCAAAACCCTTTAATCGGGAGATAATAGATGACCCTAGTTCTTAAAATAGCCTGCTTAACTTAAAAATAGCGTATGATTAAAACAGCCATGTTATTTTTGAACAAGATATGCAGTATAACCGTCAGGTCTTACTGCAGGACACGCCCAATCCGACAACATACTGCTAAAGAACGGTTTTAAATTATTATACTGTTATAACCTAGTTTTCCTACCTACATATTGTAATTACATAAGTTATTCTTATTTTTATCTTTCCATGAGAACGGTTTCAAGGACAAGGCCATTTGAATTTAAATTAGCTCATGTTGGGATTGACAAAAGGTCAGCGCTATGAGAATAGAAAATATATTTTATCTCCCGAGAATTCGATAAATAACAAATTCTTTATTAAAAGAACGAATATAAGGTGTTCATGTATTGATGTCAGTTGACAAGAAGATTAAAGCTTTCCATGCGATAACACAACAGTTACGTTGTAAAAGTTTTGACGTGTTTCAACTTTGGCCTGTTGTTTTAAGAATTGCAAGGAAAGTTTTGAAGGAATCTTGTATTTTGTTTTCAGTTCGCAAACGAGGACTTGCTCGCAGACGGGCACTTGGCAAGAGGAGCTACCGTTCTGTGGTAAGTGGCTAACATTTGGCTCTTCTCCCCTTCTCTGGTTTATGCCTTGCATAAATCACAATGCTTATTTTTTCATTCCTACTATTTTTAATACTGTTTTTATATTCAAGCCAGCCAGTTATATCTTCATAATGGGGCATAATCGGGACAAAAATTAGGTATAATTAGAAAGTATTACGCTTGCCCTATTATCTATTCAAAAGCTCGAGAATAGGCTGGAATAGGTCAAACTTGGCTTAACACTTAACCTTTAACGCATTTTGGCCTATAAAATAGGAACGCTTTGAAACGGTCCATTCAATTTAACGGGATCGTTTACTTACAAGGCACTACGCGAAGTTAATGCTTTTGGACAAATGTTTACATTTACCATATTTCAACCATAAACCATACTTTTACTTTAAATTTGCATAATTCTTCAAGGTTGACTCATGGAAATGAAAGATTTAAGAAATTGCTTTGCATGGTCTGCGATGAGATTAATCGATAATTTGTCGTAAAAAACGACTATATGGTTTATGGGCCGACAAACAGATGAGGTCATCGCCGGACCTCCGCGTGTATTCCTTCTCTTTCCTGTCTTTCTCGCGTATTTTGAACGTTTTTTGAATTTGGTTGTTTCGATCATTTTGATCCTGTAAACTATTTTTGCCAAGTTTCTAATATTTTTCGATGTACTAACGTCCCTTGAAATTTCATTCAAATTGATTGAGAGAGTGACAGCTATTTGAATGCAAATTTTGGTCATTGTTACATAGTTACAATAGTTATAAATACACACTTTGCAATAAATACACATTGTGAAAATAGTATCCATTATATTTCGTCGTCCGATTGATCAAATAACTTCTTTCAATTAATTAATCTTTATGAATGTTTTTGGTTGAGATAAAAACGTCAGTGTCACGAGGGGGATTCGAACCCACGAACTTCGGCTCAACGCCGCTGCTCTAACCACTCGGACACCAACATCCCATCTTAACCTATAACCTTTCGAATTTTCCCTCCTTTTGCCATTTTTCAACTGTTGTAATCAGGATTGGATTCTCGGCGACAAATGAAATGGAAACGGAGAGTATTAGTGACGATATACTTCATTTTACTTATTAAATCCATTATATTACGTGGTCCGATTGACCAAATAGCTTCTTTCAATTAATTAAGTTAATTAGTCAGAGTGGATCGAAGTCACGATAGCTGAAGTGGTACAGCAGCGGGTATTTAGCCGAAGGTCGTGGGTTCGAATCCCGCTCGTGACACTAACTTTTTCATTTCAACCAAAACCTTACATAAAAAGGTTGATTAATTGAAAGAAGTAATTTGATCAATCATACCACTAAATATAATGGATTTAATTATGTTTTGTACTATCGTTTCTAACATAAAAATTAATTAATTGAAAGAAGTATAAATAATAATTTGTTGAAGTCATGAGGGGACGTTTTGACCTTTATTCGGATCGTCTTCAGCGCCTGGGTAAATTACAAAACATACGTTTTTTGGAAAAAATACAATTTGAGAAGTAAATATAAATTTTGAACCAAGTATTTCATACTCACATAAAGTGTGGTGCTATTCTTGTGGCGTCTTATTGGTTTTGTGTGAAAATGTTGTGAATTTGTATTCTGCTTTTTTGTATGAAAATTGTGAAAATTTCTTAGATCATAGGCAGTTTTATTTAATTCAAAGGAAGTCGAGAATGAGGATTTTCTTGATTGGATTTATGATTTGGCATTCAATATTGGAAAGGAAGTTAATTATTAAGAACGATAAACGAAAGAAAGGGAAAAATAAAATTATGGTTTAATAGTACAAAATCAGAATAGTTTATGATATTGGCTACTGATGAGTTTGCATATATATGTTCTGTAATTGATGCTATGTGTCTCTGTTAATGTGAACCATTTCTAAAAAGTTGCGTTTGTATTTGTAACTTCTAGAAAGAAATGTTTTCTTTTCCAATTAACATATGTTTTGTAACTACCCAGGCCCTGAAGATGACCGGAATAAAGGTCGAAACGTCGGCAAAAAAATAAAAAAGGTGTTTTTCTAAACTACCTCATTCTTGACCGCTCTTCATTCAACAAATTATGAAACAACCGGTTACTAAGAAACACACAGTAAAATAATAAAATATACCCTATAAAAAAGTATTTACATCAATGGAATATCTGTCAGCTTGGAGTCGATATTACTGACAAAATATTTAAAAAAGATAATTAAATAGCCAATAAAATAAAATAATATTCCCTGTGTTTTATGACTTAATTATTGGGTTGTCCGGAAAATAATGCAGGATTTTGGTATTAAACAAAAAAAAAGAAACTAGTTACTTTAAAGCAATGTTCTTTAATCAAAATAATNAGATTTTTTTTAATGAAAACTTAAAATCCTGCATTATTTTCCGGACAACCCAATAGAAAGAAAAAGAAAACAAAACCCCTCAAAAAATTATTTAATTAATTTAAAAAATATATATAAATAATAATAATAAAATAAAATAATCTGGTGAGCATAGAACAAGATAGATTTATATACGATTAATTAAGTAAAAATTTCTTCTAATAAATCAAAAATTAAACTAATGTACCAGTTCCCAGCGGTAAAACCAGGCATGATGAGAGAATTTTATTAGCTGCAGGCTTGGCCCTTTTAAAAGTTTGACTAGGTCTTTCTTCCGAGAGCACAGCACAACCCAAATAAAAAGCACGCATCTCGGACAAAATGGTTCATTTAGCCAAAACGTGCACGATGGTTTCATTTTCCCTTGTATTGAGCACATTTCTGTATACCTCTGGCAGCCTATCAAGGGGGTCGAGTTAAAAAACTGAAGTTCTCGAAGTTTGCAGAGCCAGGGGAAATCCCTGTTTTAGTGTTCTTCCATGTTTCTCATTCGTGAAGCAGAACACATCGAAATTTCGGTCAAGCCTCAAAATAAACCTCTCTGTTGTCAACATTCGCTCCAAAAACCTCTTGTTATCGCTAGATCCTATATTGGAAAGATTGCACTGGAATTCTGCCATCCATTCAGAAATGTTGTCTCGAGAGAATCGGAAAGAAGGATATCTCTCTGAGAAGTAACCCCAGTGATCATACCAAAAAAATAGTTTTATTTATTATCTCCTGAGCTGTAATTATCGTGTAGCGGTGACCAGTGATTTTGTAGGGTTTTGCATACAATTTAAAATGAAGGTTTAACGTGTGCAGAAATAAGAGATCAACACGGGTTTCTAAACATAGCATATAATTTGGAGTTCAAGAAGGCAAGGCAAACAACTGCTTGATGAAGTACCTCAACGATTTTTCCAACTGATCATATAATTGAAAACCCCAAACTTGACATCCGTAGATGAGAATGGAACGGCAAACTAAACTCTTTAAATTTGGAAGATAAAGGGAACAGATAATGCATCATGAACCCAGGCGACATAGTATTAAGCGCAAATTTTGCTGCCGAGACTTTCTGCACAGAGAGAAACCAGCCAGTGTTGGAATTCTCTTTTATTCTTGGTAGGGTGGTTAAGGATAACAGGTCGCGAGGCCATCGTCGTTTTAAACGGCATTGAGGATTATAAGAGCAGACGTTGAGGAAAGAGTTTGGGCTAGTGTTTTTTGGTGTAGGGCTAGTTTAGAGTGGAAATTGAGTAACCATATTCGGATCAGATCCTTGACGAATGGGATTTTTAGAATGGCGACGTAGATCGTTGAGGATACGTCGTAGAACTTTGAATTTAAAAGATTAGATTTGTTGAATGTGGAGGATTTGGCCCCAGAGTTCGACTTTGGTATTAAGCACCAGTAGGTGTCTGAATAGACCTTTTCTCTTGTTAAGTTCTTGTATTTTTAATCATGTACGTGGGTTCCATGTAAGACTGCTGAGTAAAACCCAAGGTTTTTATATTATGCGCACTTGAGGGCAGGTTTTGAGCATAAACGTGGCTTTAACCTGATCCACCACCGAGTGCACCGGTCGGTAATCAGGTTCAGATGTTGCATCTGTGGATAGGATTGCGGTGTCATAGGTTGCGAATTGTGTTTCGATGTGTACTTTTCGGCAGTGTAGATGGTGTAAAGTATTGGGCTTAAGACACTTCCTTGTGGAACGCCACCCTCTTCATGAAACTTTTTCAACCACCTATTTCTAAATTCTAACGGTATAGGACGGATGGCCGGAACATGTTTTCCCTTTGGCTCGGTTATAGAGTGAGCAACAGATTCTTTCATTTTTAAAGGTTTAAAATCAATATTTAGAAGGTAATTTTTAAAAGTTTCTGAATATAGGTAGAGTTCTGGCAGAGTGAAGCTTTTTAATTCTTTATACAACTTACACATCGGAGAATTTGTACTACATTTTTAAACTTGTCCCTTATTTTCCCTGCTAACTTTTCTAGATAAAAGGAATAAGTTGTTTTCCATTCATAATCTTTTAAAGTAAACATATATTTTTTAGTATAATGCTTAGGAATTTCGGAAGTCTTTCGTTAGTATGTTGAGCTACTTTCAGTAGATAATTATAGTGGCATATCAGAGTGAACAGTGGCTTTACGTGAGTCTCAAAATGTAAGAATGTTGTCAGGGTGTGCTGAGACGAGTTATATAATTTTTTTACGAAATATCTTGTCTATTTCTAAACTTCGAAACACTGCTTAATCCCCCATACTGTATAGCACATGAACAAGACTGCGTACAGTATTCCCATTAATTTTTTTTTTTTAATTATTAACCACAGAAAATTTATAACGGCTTTTTCGTTTGTTTATTTTTATTTTTAAATGAGCAGAAAACGACAGTGGCATCAATCAGGTGCTTATATTGTGAGATAATTTCGATTTCCTCTTGTTTAGGGGGTTGGAGGCTAACGTCCAAACTATCTTCGGGTATTGCGGACGAGGCGTCATACCCTCATACCAATTTACAATACATTTTTCATATTATTCTCAAATAAAATTCCAAGTGCTATGCCGGGATTCGAACCCAGAACCGGTAGCGTGGCAAACACG